TCTGGTGGGAACACCGGATCAGCAATTCTGAAGTACGTCGAATGGTATTCGGGAGAAATAACTCACCCTCGATAGATGAACTGATCACACTGCACAGGTTGCGCTGGCTTGGCCACGTGCTGCGTATGCCAGTCGACCGATTTCCTCGAAGGCCTCTTTTCGCCCAACCATGTGAAGGGTGGAAGGGAGCCAGAGGCGGTCAAACAATGACTTGGCAGCGAAGTATGAAAGCCATTACCAGCAAACTCAGCTGCGCTGGTCACTGCCGTCTTCCTGGATGGGGACCCCGAGACGGGCCACATCAATGACTAGAGACATTGTCAGATATGGCCCAGTCGCGCCCTCAATGGCGCTCGTGCATCAAAACTATTGCCTTCAATGCATAGCTCCTTTTCCAACCCCCCACTTGACAGTCCACTGACAGTGCTGGATTTATGCACCAATTTACCAGCTCGCGCATGCAATGCGCAGCTACCTACCCCCTCCCCCAATCATCGGTGAAGGAAACGGCTGCAGCTACAACCAGTGTACGACGAGTACGCTGACAGTGATGATGATGATGATGACTACGTGCTGGTCGTGGATCCATTCGCGCTCAAACAAAATACTACAGTTAAGCGACAGTAAGCAAGAGGAAACCCAACGGGAGCTACTAGGCGGCACAGGTTGCAAGAATGAGCACACGTGCCTAGTCCTTTACCTCGCTTACGTTTGGAATGGATAATATCGCACTTTCACATTTCATCGTTGCAAGGCATCATACTATACCGGCTCACCCTGACAGCGGCTTATGTATGTGATGATGACTTATGTACGTATGTATGTGTTCATTTCTAGAAGCAGGCTTCCGTCGTGGAAACAAGCACAGCAATAGCTCTAGAGTCAGCTAAGACACACTGCTACCCGGGTGAGCCAGTAATTGACAGTAGTATAGAAACTTAGCATCAGTCAGCATGCGCTCTTTGAACAAAAGGTAGAGGTAGAGGCCAAAGCTGACTTGGGAACTGTCGACAGGATAGATAAAGTAAACGTATCTTTCAAGGTTACCTGCAGAGCATAATGAAGATAAAGACAATTTTATTGAGGAAGGTATTCATGCCATCCACACCATTCATCACCTTCACACATTGACGCAATTTCATGAGCCGCCCAAAGCTTCCTAATAACGTGAATTCAGTACAGAAAGAGGATCACCCTCGGAGGCTGCTGATTCGGAACGCAAAACAAGTACGCTACTGCTTTCCGGTACTAGGTTCGCTTAAGTTTCACACTTATCGAGACACGTCTACTAGCTTCCCTTTAAATGCGCAGCTACCTACCCCGACTCCCAAAATCATTGGTGGACGAACCTGTGGCAGCTACAACCAATGTACGACAAGTACGCGGTTCTTACGGTTGAGGATAATAATAATAATAATAATTGCAAAGCCCAACTTCGGTACGTGAGAGGCAAGTGCGAGGCCACCAAGTCGGATATCGAATTTGCAGAGGGTGAAGTGACCACTTCTTCATATTACGTCAGGTATGCGCCCTAACTCCTTGGATAGATTAGCTCACCTAGATATTCTTGACCAGAGGACGCTCTTGAAGTTCGCAAACAATATTTGTCTTTTATTCTTATACCCCGGGTGGGATTAGGGTGTACACTGAGCTTTCCAGAAGCCTTCTCGTTACTAGTGGAATTCGTCAACGTTGTCTCCTCTGTCCTGATTTGTTCGAATTTTTCTTTCCAAAAACAGCGGGAGAAATGTAACCATATATCTTACACTAAGTTTTGGGTACCAGTGGCTTGTAGGCATCCGAATGCCTTTCGAATGAACGTATCAAGAAGCAACTAAAGTACTGCATCGCGTTTGTTGTTTGTTTTTATTCACTTAAGTACCACCAACAGATAAAACGATAATTGCTCTTGTTTTGACAGAACCAGGGTTTGTACCAACTTCGGAGACCTAGAAGCTTTACCGTCAGGATCTTATTTGACCTGACATATAGGTTGTAATCCAAGCTCAAGTTCAAACAATAAGTTCAGAGGTTAAATTTGAACACAGCTGGGTGCTATCAATGTCTTGAATTTCGCAGGCAGGCTCTTTTCCGAGGCCACTCAAGACAACAAGATACGAATGAAGGGACACACACCAATGTAAATAATGACACGTGGGAAAAGGGTTGACAAGGGTGCAGTGAGTTCCAAAAAGGACTATAATATTAGTTGGCGACCTGATCCTCGTTAGTAATAAAAGTGATCAAATAAAGATGTGGGATTGGGATATCCAAAACCAGAAACTAATCCAACTGGTCCTAGAGAAAGCGGTGCTGTATCATGGTTTGACTTTCATTGAGCGAGCAGCTTGTTCCGCATGATTACCAGGAATACACAGTGTAGAGAGTACAGGTATTAACCAGTACTTAAAACAAACTCATACACTGTCAAGTTTTTAAAGTGAATCCTCTTAAAGTCAGTGAATAGTGGTACTGAACATTTCGCACAAGCAAGTTCAGCAAAAGAATAGTGATAAATAATGAGTGAATACAAATGAACCAACCTTATCAGAGGCAACAGGTGGAACAGCTTCACCGCTGGGTTTGCGCTGATCTTGCTGCTTGGCACTGGAGGGAGAGGCGTCACCAGAAGCTGTAGAGGACAGCCGGGTAGCCGTCTCTAAACAGCGTAGCGCCTGCTGCTCTAGACGATTCAAAACCAGTTGTAGATGATGGCCTTGGTCTTCGTCCGAACTATCCATCAAGGATATAGAAGGCAGCACCAAAAAAGTGAGTGCTCGTGCTTCAATCTCTTCGATTTCGTCGATGAGTGAGGCCCATTCGTCTAAATGAGGGACAAGGTAAAGGGATAAACAAAGTGCAATCGGGTTTAAAATGGACAGCGCTCAAATAAAAGAGGGGAATAGTTCTGGACAGAAAGCTCACGTAAAGAGCGGCGATTGCCCACAATCTAGCTCAGAGCTGTCTGTCTACACAACCACGTTGAAAAAAGTGCAAAAGTACATCACCACGCCTAGCACCAATGGTTTTGGGGAGAGAACACACTTTGTGGTAGAGTAAATAGGGACGCAGGCTAAGGTTATCAAATAAAATTCCGGATTGCTCGCCTACAGGTACCAGCATAATTTATGAATATCAGTCAAATCTCGAGATGGCTCAGTCATTAGAGGGCGAATTTACCGACCTGAAGGTCCCAGGTTCGAACCCGACCTCTGCCTCTCGACTTTCTTTGTCTAGGCTCAGGCAACCTGGCAGTATTCCAACCATCGTACTTCCTAATGGTGGCATGGCAATTAAGTACCGAAAGGGTGCTACAGCTGAGCGAGTTTTTCCAAAGCTCGAGTGCACGGTCTTATTCACCAACTTAAGCGGAAGCATTATAGTGGCGAATTACGACCGGGATCGACGAACATATACCATACACGATTTAGTTGGTTTGAGATCAAGATGGTTACGCAACCCAGTGAGACTCAGTGCATGTAAATTCACGATCGGTACAGAGTGAACAAGGAGGCTGTTGCTCCTAAGCACAGAAACGAACAGCGAAAAAAATCTAAGAATAACGAAACACTGCTAATCCACTAGGTGATTCTCCCAAAAGAAGCCCTAAACAGCAAATTTTCAGCCCGTCCACTAAGAACCACCCCAGAGGTATGACCGAGGTCAACCTTCCACAGGAGTGGTCATTTGCAGGGGACAGTGAAGGACCTGCCCCGTTGGAAACAACTGCATTTCGGTTATGCTGGCAGATACCGAAATCTCGTACTAGTAACAAACTATAAGTAGCTCATAAGGGTTAATAAGCAAACGGACGCGTTGACCTTCCATCTCAAAAGTAGTTACTCGAGCCATCACGTGACCATGTGACGACTATGGCGGGTGTGTTTCGCTTCAGGCTACAGTAGAATCATTATTGTGAAGATATCACAAAACTTTGCAAAGCACTTGAACAATTACGGGACGTCATGCCTATTTTGCCATGAATAAACTCGTCAATAAGTGGGAAACGCTCTCTATCTCCCTCTGTCGAAAATGCGTTCTCACTGAAACGTCAGGAAGGACTAGGCGAACGCCACACTTAGGTGGGTCGGCCTCGTTGCAATCCTGTATAAACGCAGACCGACAAATACCTTCATTCAAGCTTGGAAGGTGATAAAATATTTGCGGTCTTCTGGCTGATTGATTGATTTGTTCATCTGACTGCTTCGGTTCGGTCGAGTGCTTGTGACTCTAGGCACCTCAAGGTGCTTGCGATAGGCTAGCACCGATTCCCCGCTCACACATTCCTTTCACTCCTTCTTCACTTCTTTTTTAACTTTAGGGCTTTAAGTAGAATTAAATTAACTTTGTGGCTGTACAGCAGTGAAGCATCAGTGTCAAAACTAATGCTATCGTCTCTGATTATGATGATGACGGCTGTTTTAGTGCATTACCAGCATAATGAACTACAACCACTAACCTAAAAACCACCTGGCAATGACCTAACAAGAAGTTTATTATGCGAGTTTCATATCCGAGGTTATGGGCTGAACAAGCGGTTTGGCGTCTCAACTAGGTGACCTTCGAACTTGGGTGATTTCCGCCTCCTCAGGGCACATTAGGCATTGGAACAAAAGTTCGAAGTCATTAGTGGAAAACCAAAAAGTACTGCGAGCTCAGTGATCCGAATTTCGAAGTTGAAAACTAACTCAGATATCCATAAAGTAGTCGTTTGTTTAGTATATGTCAGCCACGTGCAATTCAGTGATTATATACGTTGCGGTGAACGAGTGTTGAAGTGCAACCAGGAATTTCGTCCTTGGAAGGATAAGGTCTGGAGGGCAAGTTTGTGACTATAGTATTCGAGCTCCAAGTTTATTTGGTTGAGGAGTGGGTCAATGCATGAATGTATACGAGACCAGTTTGTACGACTGCCCGGAAGACCAATAAACAAGTTTCAGGTCCGAAAACAGAGATGGACGCCTTTTGCTTCATATCACATCTCATGGTATGACCTCAAAAATTAAAATTCAGACAGGCGGCAAAATCACACCGTCACTTGAGTTAGAACGACAGAGTGCAGTATGGGCAAGTAAAAGCAAGTTGACTGGCTTGATAAGGCCGCATGAAACCGTCAACGAAGTACGTGAAAAAGGAGACGGCCGTGGGTGTTCATAGTATAGTAGCAGACAACCTACTTTCGTCCGCATAACGCGGTGGACAGCCTACACGCATTTTTTGGCTAGTGGAGAACAGGAAGGAGCCTAATCCTAACAATGTATGCTGGGGTGCCCGCACCTCATCAGTGAAAGTTACGCCTTACTGCTATTTCCATTAATCCACTTTCACTTGTCATTTCAGCCTATACTGCGCTTTATGTTGAATAAAGCCTATCCTTAGGCGAAGTCTTCTCATTCTACTCAACGGATCAATAATCGATTAACTAAGTCATCGACTCCCACTACAGTCCTGTCAGACAACTACATGCACGAAAACCACTAACATCAGCCGGCGGCCGTACCGATTAATCTCAATAACCGTGATTATGTAGGAAATGCATTTGAGGGCCCAATGAACTCTAGTCAGTATACAGGTCCGCTGGCCTACATTCACGAAAGCGATTCCATCAGAGTAACCAAACCGAAAGACTCAAAACTAAAATAAACAGTAAAGTGGCAGTCAGTCATTCACGTAGCAAACAAAACTGGGCTAAACAGCATAGTGAAACGACATTGAGAACTTACGTGAAGAATGCTTCGCATCGGCTCTCATTTCATACACGCGCATGCGTAAAGTGTAAATTTTCTCCATCTTTTCTTCCAAGCATCCGGTCACATGCTGTTCAGTGGAACAAACTATGGGTAGAAGACCGACCGCATTTTTAACAGGTGAAGATATTGGAGTACGTCTCTGTACGGGTCTCGGGGAAGAGTGATTTCCGAAGCCTTCGGAAAAGCGACGCGAAATATCTTTTAATTCAGCCTCAATGGCATCCGCTGCTAACTTCATTGAATGTCGAGCTCGCCTGAGTTGAAACTCGTATGATCTCGCTGCAGCATTGTCAGCGACAAGCTGTTCCCAGGTGGAACTGAGAGTAGGCGAGGTCGTGAACATTTTCTCACGTGCAACTGAAAAAAATGTGAAGAAACCTACCAATGAAATCCCACCCAGATGAGACCTGCTTGACAATATGAGCACTATACATAGAACTCTGTTGAGATCATGGGAAGCGTCAGAAACCGGCCTTTGTAAATGAGTGTAGGCATAAAGGGTGTTGCGTTCCAGTAATTTGTCATTAAGAACAAAACCAAGTATGCCTTTCAACCTTGGAAGATACCGTTACGAACAGTTGTTGCAAAGATGGACTGGCCAACTTAGTCCAGTTGTGATTATCAGAAAAGTCGTCAATGAACAGTAAAGAGGGTCAACGTTCTGACTTGGAAACTGTGTATTTGTGAATGTGCCCCTGGTTACAGAAACTGGAGCGTTGGAATCGTCATAAAATGTCCGACAGTTGATTAACCAACGGTTAACCGGTTAAGAGAGTGCCTGACCCGAAAATCGGAAGAACAGTCAACATTCAACTTTCCAAGAATAGAAGCAGAGGCCACTACGCCAGCTGGATTCCTCACGACTGACCCGCACATTTAACCAAGGCAATGGACCGGTATAGTCGGAGAACAAGTAAAACCCTTGCAAGTTGGCCCGCGGTGAAAACCTTACTTTTGACCCTGAACACTGGTCTGCGGTTTAAAATATGAAATGGAAATGATGTTGGCACTAACCGGCTAACTTAGGGGCATGTTGGGAGTTCGCTCTCGTAAAACCAGATAATGCTCCGAGTGAAATACACTCATTTGCATACCAATCTGGTTTTGACGAGAGATTCACCTGGAACCCAGCTGAATTTCTCGTTTATGGAGAGCCCCAAGAAGGACGAAACCGGTTGTGGGCTGTCAAGGCTTTTAATAACCCTATGGTAGTGTATTACGTCTACAAAGGTAGTGCTCCGTTCACACACAACAAAGAACTAAAGAGGTCAACGAACGGAATCTACCAAGAAAGATGTTCTGCAAACCAACCAATCACATGCATTATCATCATCATCACCATTGTCAGCCGTAAGAACCGCATACTTGTCTTACAGTGATTGTAGCTGCCACTGTTTCGTTCACCGATGATTCGGAGAGCTGGGGTAGGTAGCTGCGCACTGGAAGCGGGGGCTGATAAATTGGTGTGTGAATATGGCACTGTCAGTCGACTGTCAAGTGGGGGGAATGGGAAGAGAGCTATGAATTTAAGGCAATAACTTAGATGCGATAGCGCCGTTGATTGCGCGACTGGGTCATGTCTGACAATGTCTCTAAGCATTAATGTGGCCCGTTTCGGGTTCCCCATATATATAGCTGCCAAGTCATTGTTTGACAGCCTCTGGCTCGTTTCTACCCTTCACGTGGTTGTGCGAAAAGAATCCTTCAAGGAAGTTGGTCGACTGGCATACGCAGCACGTGACCAAGCCAGCGCAACATATGCAGTGTGATCAATCCATCTATCGAGAGTGAGTTATTTCTACTGAATACTGTTCGACGTACGTCAGCATAGTTTATCCGGCGTTACTACGGGACTCGAGCAATGCCCCGAAGACATCGATGGTCGAACACTGAAAGTCTTTTGATGTCCTCAGCGCGCAGCGGCCAGGTTTCTGATCCGTATAGTAAAACTGAGGGCACCGCAGCATTGTAAGACGTAAATCTGTCTACTACCTTAATCGGTTCATCCGCAAGCATGGGGCTAGGGTTCGAGCCCACCCAGTCTTGCCATAGCACTTTACACTTTACATGTGTGAAGCGCATGCCAAGCCGTGGGGCGGAATTATTTAGATTATTTGATATTGCTTGCATTACCACGGGGTCGGACCCAAGAAGAGCTATGTCGTCTGCGTACTCGATGTCTGTGAGCGGAGGCCCAGGGAGCACTTCGACTCCACAGGCATTAGAGGCTGGTAGTGAGTCTTCCATGATCGTGTCAATGACGAAGTTGAAGAGGAAAGGTGAAAGAGAACAACCCTGTCGGACACCACTTGATGTGGGGGGCTCAGAAGAAAGCTTCTCGTAGACCGTCACAAGGCCTAGGGAGTTGGCAAACAGCACCTTAAGGAGGGTCCAAAATTTGTGGGATATACCTTTGCTCAACAAACACTGCCATAGTGCCTGACGGTCCACAGAGTCATGGGCAGCTTTCAGAACAAGAAGCACAGCCATTGTTGGTTGTTGGAAGCAATGTCGCTGTTCCAAACTGTCGGAGGGTGGAGATATGATTGATGCATCTTCTTGCAGGACGGAACCCAACTTGTTTTTCATGAATATGTTTATCCCTGTTCAGTTAACCTTCGAAGGTTAAGACCAGAGAGCAACTTCGATGCCAAAGCTAACAGGCTGATGCCACGATGGTTTCTTTCCAGATTGTCTGACTGAGCGGTCGGAAGCGCAGGCACCTCAATATGTTTGACATAGGCCAGCACTATGCCCCCTCCCTCACCCATTCTCTTTCTCTTCTCTTGTCTGTAGGGCTTTTAATACAATTATATATATATATATATATATAACTAGGCAAACCTTATGGTTGTACGGCAGTGAAGCATCAGTGGAAATACTGATGTTGCTATCCTTGGTGATGATGATGATTCTGTGGGTATCTTCGTTCCATATAGCACCAACAAGCTTTATCAGATGGGTCATCAGGGATTCTCCGTCTTCTTTGGAGAGGGCTGGATACAAACCGTCCGGTCCTGGTACATTCTCACGTTTTAGCACTGATATTTCATACCCTATTTCTTCCTCCAACGGGCGATCGAGGTTTACATTCCATTCGCCTGTTTGCACTATCTCTACAGGCTGTGTTGCAGGAGGCCAGCTGAGCTGCTCTTCAGTCCATCTTCCCAGTCGACGTTTTTGCGAGGGAAGTAATGAGCCATCCTTTTCACTTATCGTTTCTCTGACCGTTGCTTTCTCAGGGCCCGTCGATCGTATCAGTTGATATAGGGCACGGCCGTTTCCCAGAGCAAAGGCCTTCTCCATCTCTCGAGCTTTCGATGTCCACCAGAACTCTCGGTCTTTCCATAGACTTCAATATTTGGCGTTTGAGAGTTTTGCGTGCGCGGTCGGACTCATTGCCTGCTGGTATGGATTTCCTGGCATCGATCATGAATAGCGACCCCGATGATATCCCGTGGTCTTGTAGTCAAATTGGAGAGACAGAGAGCACTGAACACCACTAACATAGCTGCTTTTACATTTTGCTACGCTTCATCCACATGATCACTGCCACCACAGTATTGGTTTGCTGTGGAGAGTTGTTGGGCTAGCTCAGATCGACACTGTTGAGCTATGATAGCTTTTCGAAGACAGTGGATTGGCATGCTTCTTGCTAACTTGCGAGGGACGCAAACTGTCAGGCGTGCACGCACCAGGAGTGATCGGAATCAAGTGTGTGGCCCAGAAGGAACGGCAGTCTTGAATTGTGGTTCTCCACCGGTAGCTGATGACCACGTTCCAACTGGGTCCACGGTTGATTTGCAGTTGGTAGCCGCCAGGTTACGTGATGCGAACGTTTATGTTCAAAGTTCGTACCTGCCAGAAACAGTTCATTGTCAGTACATAACTGAAGGAGTCGATCTCCATTGTCCGTGCAGCGAGCATTGGCTCCGAAGCGACCGCCCAAATGTGATTCCAAGAGGCTCAGATGACCTACTTGAGCATTCAAATCGCCTGCAAGCACAACATTGTCAGTGCTTTTTGCCTGACGAATGAGCTAGGATTGCTTTCCATAGAAAGTATTCTTCTCCGCCTCAGAACTGCTATCCGCTGGGGCATAAGCCGACACTACAAAAGGCACCGCTTTTATGCCCAGAGGTTTTGAGCTTTAGCGAAGTAGATAACCGGACAGCGCTAAGCCAATTCTTCACTGCAATCCAATCCAGCAAAAGCGCGTTCGGCTCTGGGGCTGAGTGCAACTCCTACGCCATATATTCCATCAGTCATCGCTTCTGGGTCATTGGACACACGGGCGGAGAAACGTGAAAGAGCTAAGTTCATCCTTAGTGTTCTGAGATGCATAACCATGTATGCGTGTTTCGGAGACACAGCACACATTAATTTTAAGGGAGTATAAGGTCTCACCAGGCGTTGCCTGTTTTCTAAATTGATATAGAGTACGGACGCTAGAAGCTCCTACATAGATATGATCTTGTGGATTTGGGTGTTATTTTGTGTATTGTTAGCAGGCAGCGAGGAGCATAAGGCCCTTCGGTCAGATAAATGACAGTCAAACGGCCCAGCGACGTTTGTTTGTGTTGTGGGAAGGGGTTGGGGAGGGACATCGGTGGACACCGAACTGCGCGGGAAAATGATACTTCCCGGATGCCCAGGTCGAGGAAGGGGGTTTGGTCGAGGTACCCCGCCTTGAGCCTTTGACTCAAAATCTGACCCACGAAGCAGTGGGAGAATGTAGGGTTTTGTTCGGAGACCCTGCTCCTAGCCTCTGACTCAAAAGTCTGACCCACGAGGCAGCGGTCAGTAGGGCTTTCTTTGGAGACTCTGCCCGGAGCCGATGACCCAGAGGGGGTTGGCCTAACACGAGGGCGCAGGGAATATCATCATCATCATCATCACTGTCAGCTGTAAGAACCGCGTACTAGTCGTACACTGGTTGTAGCTGCCACAGTTTCGTTCACCGATGATTGGGGGGTAAGTAGCTGCGCATTGCACGCGCGAGCTGGTAAATTGGTGCATAAATCCAGCACTTTCAGTGAGTTTTCACGGGGGGGGGGGGTGGAAAAGGAGCTATGCATTGAAGGCAATAGCTTGGATGCACGAGCGCCACTGAGGGCGCGACTGGGCCATGTCTGATAATGTCTCTAGCCATTGATGTGGCCCGTCTCGGGGTCCCCATCCAGGAAGACGGCAGTGACCAGCGCAGCTGAGTTTGCTGGTAATGGCTTTCATACTTCGCTGCCAAGTCATTGTTTGACCGCCTCTGGCTCTCTTCCACCCTTCACATGGTTGGGCGAAAAGAGCCCTTCGAGGAAGTCGGTCGACTGGCATACGCAGCACGTGGCCAAGCCAGCGCAACCTGTGCAGTGTGATCAGTTCATCTATCGAGGGTGAGTTATTTCTCCCGAATACCATTCGACGTACTTCAGAATTGCTGATCCGGTGTTCCCACCAGATTCGGGCAATGCTCCGAAGACATCGATGGTCAAACACTGAAAGTCTTTTGACGTCCTCGGCGCGCAGCGGCCAGGTTTCTGATCCATATAGTAATATGGAGCGCACCGCAGCATTGTAAACTCGACCCTTGACAGAGAAACTGATGTCACGCCTACGCCACAGGTGACGTAGGTTCGCAAAAGCTGCTCTGGCCTTCCCAATCCGGATGGTAATTTCATCTTTCGCGAGACCACCGGGACTGATACAGCTGCCCAGGTAAACAAATTTGTCTACTACCTCAATCGGTTCATCCGCAAGCATGAGGTTAGGGTTCGAGCCCACCCAGTCTTGCAGTAGCACTTTACACTTTGCAGGTGTGAAGTGCATACCAAACCGCGAGGTAGGGGCGAGGTGCAGGGAATAAGGCATTAATGTCTCATTCCTGATGCCGCCGCGCACAGCGGGTGCGCAGTGCCCGGTGAGCAGCACCGGGCTTTGGTTTTAAAAGTAGTTCGACCGTATTGGATAATGCACCGAGGGTCACGGTTAACCGTCGGGCGATCGGAGTGTACGGTTTTTTGAGCCGACCCTTTCTAGCTGGTCCTTCCTCGGGGGAAGGCAGCACCGCTGCTCCCATAAATATGGACATGCTGAGCGGAGGATCTGAGATATATTCAAGTCTATGACCACCTACGTCTCAGGAATATAGCTGGAACCCCCTGGAACCAGAGAATTAGTAGCGAGGCCATTGAAAGACAGATTACTGGAGAAACAGACGGCACTCACTGTGAAGAACGCATCCGGCACTGCAAACTAAGGTGGACGGGCCGTTCAGGTGCGACAATTTATCGTGTGATTTCTTGATATCCGTGCCTAATTAAGTGAGGGAAATCTATACATGGAGGGAGTTTGACATAGCAGGAGGGAACGAAAGACGGTACGAAGAGTTTGGGCGCTGTTGGTACAATTCACCTTCCAAATATATTTGGAAGGTGAATTGTACCAACAGCGCCCAAACTCTTCGTACCGTCTTTCGTTCCCTCCTGCTATGTCAAACTCCCTCCATGTATAGATTTCCCTCACTTAATTAGGCACGGATATCAAGAAATCACACGATAAATTGTCGCACCTGAACGGCCCGTCCACCTTAGTTTGCAGTGCCGGATGCGTTCTTCACAGTGAGTGCCGTCT